GCCCACATATCCAGGAAGGTAACTGGGGGAGCGCACGGTCGCTGTGGGCAGAGTGGGTTTGCCGCCCAGGAGACGGCAGTGGTGGAGTGCGCCCTGTGGGAGGGATGCAGCAGGCGTGGCCAGTGTCGCTCGGCCACCCCAGGCCAGGCGTCCCACGGCGCACCCGGGGCTGCGCACCCGGGGCCGGGCCGCCCTGAGCCCCGCCGGGGTGCAGCAGGCAGCGAGAGTTCTCTTTTGTTTGAAAGCAGAGGTTGCCCCAGAGTCTGACGATTCTAAAACAAAAAGGCTGTGCGCGGTCCAGTGAGGTAGGTCCGCCCGGCCTGCACACCAGCTTGGCGCCCGCCCCAGCTAACCTGGCTTCTCTGCAGCCCACCCGCCTGTGGCCACCGGTGGTGGTGTGTCCCCTGGCCCTCGTGGGCAGCGCTGGGTCGCCAAGCCTCGCTTTCCTGGTGTCTCAGTCCCGGACAGTCGCAACCTCAGAGCTGCCCCCTGCAGGCAGGCCAAGAAGCGGGGTGGACAGGCCAGTCGGGCCGAGCTCCCTCGGGACAGGGCTCTAGGGCCTTAGCGGGCACGAGTGGGGCTGGCAGAACAGACTGAGGTTGCTCCTGTCCTGTCGCAGCCCTGGGTGCGTGCCCTGGTCCTGGCTCCCGGGGGCAGGGGGGTGCCCTCCTCTACCTCCATCCACAGGGCTGGGCCTCTGGGCCCCGACTCCGGAGCGCCTCACTCTGCCTCCTTCCTCAGGCCCACGGCCCTACAGCCCACAGCAAGCAGTCGGAGAAGGTCCTGGGCGCAGGGGAGACACTCACTCTGCGCCCATCCTCTGGGTTGGCCCTCAGCCCTGGCGCCAGCCAAGCATGTCCCCAGGTGGACTCTGAGGCAACAGGCAGCAAGGACATGTGCTGCCAGGATCTAGCAGGCCAAGGCCCCTCCAGGGGCACAAGCCTCCCCACCTTGAGGCCCGGAGACCGCGGGCTGGTGTATCGACAGGCTCCTCCCAGTGTGCGTGGGGTCTTCTGGATCCCGCCCAGGGCCGGGACAGCCAGGGCCCAACAGCTGCCATAGGAGGGCCGGCGCGGGCTGTGCTGATGCCTGTCCTGTGCCCGACAGAAGAACAGCCAGGGCAGAGGGCAGGCAGGGCTGACGGTGGGAGAGTCAGAGTGGAACCCCGTGAGCACTCGGCTCGGAGCAGGGCCCCAGCTCCACAGGCACCCTGGCACCCAGGCTGCGGCAGGGGGCAGAGCGGTGAGACCAGGGAGGGCCTCCTCACGCCTGCCCTCGCTCCTCGCTCCAGGCGCCTTCGCCTCTGCTGGGCACCCTGGGTGAGAGCCGGGCATTTGCTAGAAGCCCATGTCTCCAACGCACCGGGCTGGGACTTGGCTCTGGCTGCCCTGGCCCGGCCACTGGCTCCTCTTGTCGAGGACAGGCACACCCA